AACCTGCACTGAAAACTACACGTTTTGGCGGGGCTGCATGCGAAATTATGGGAGCATATCCGAAACACACCTCGCTGGAGAGTTGGATGTGTTCCGAATACGTAGCGGAATGCTTTCCAGGAGCGGGTCGTCGATGTAGTGGTTCCTGAGCCATTTTGCGGACACAGTTTTGGCGGTGCGACGGGTCTCATCAGTCAGAGACTGTCCGACACATCATGCACCAGGCAACCCCCTGAATCGAGTTAGACCAGTCTCAACGGCGGAAGTCCGAAGGCGCAAAGAAGCAGCATGCCTGTAGACCGAGAGCGCTGCAGCAGGCATTCAGGGAGGAACGCCCTCCCCCCCCCCACACACAGACACACCCAGATGTATACATACACATACACATCTGTACAGATACATATAACCAATAAACAAGCATATGCAAATAAATGAATAAAGAAGTGTGTGTGTGTGTGTATATGTATATGTATATATATATATATATATATACATACATACATATACACACACACACACACACCAGCGCGCGCCTGAGTCGACCCTCGAGAAGCTGTTCGTGGGGTAACAATGCAGCTTACTTCTTCCGTTCCTCGAACCTTCATTGCCACTTCTTCTGCTATGTGTTGCGGTTTGCTGGGCTTGCCCTTTGCTAGTCAGAAGCGCAGGTAGATGATGCAAACAGCGACCTAACTTGGTTGGGTCAGGACAGTCACTGGAAGCCTGACCACCCCGTTTCTTTCAACCTCTCCTTTGCCAAGGTGTCACACACGCACGCACACACACACACACAGCTGGCAAAGTGATGTAGTATGCTTGAGATGATTCATCAGATGATTGGTTTGATTAACTATCTGACCAGTTTGAATGGGTCAACACGTAAATATTCTGAATTTGTGGGAGGCTTTGGGTAGCCTCGATCTTCCCACTGCCTGCACATGCCAGAACATCAGGTGTCCTTTGAACGCATGGCAGGGAGCATCTTGACTTTGGACACACACGACTTTTGACTGCAACCACAGATACTATGAGATTGACAGGTTTAGACTGATGTTGAACCATCGGAATTAGAGCTCAAGTTTGCATTCAGCTCGACGTACCATGCCTCGAGGGAGAAAATCAGGATATGTTCCGTGGTTCTACGGAATCAATCGCATGCAGCTCATGACCCAGCCTCCGGCTGCACGCTGTCACACTGCGTTGTTATGTGACTAATGCACTTCGTGCAACTCACGTACAAATGAATGAATGAATAAATGAATGGACTAGATGAACGAGTGATTGCATATGTGTATAGTACAGTGTATGTCATGCATGTATTATATATACATATATACATATGTATATATGTATATATGTACGTCGGTGTGTATGTATATGTGTGTGTACGTATGCGTACGTATATATGTATGTCTGCAGGCCTGTGCTTTGTAGGATAAGTCTTTTCATACTTGCTTCCCACACTGACAACCTGTATCTATTCGCGTGCATTGACCTAGAGACAGCTGCGATACGAACAATGCAGTTTCCACAGAAAACTCACGATTGCGCACACACACACAAACAAAAATCACGAACACACGCGGTGCAGGCACGCACGCGCGTACACGCACGGACAGACACCCACCCACTCCCAGCTACCCACCCGCGGGTCGGTCGAAGCCTCACTGCAAACCTGCAGAGTGTAAAGACGTAACCATCGCTCCACAGGCCTTTGTCATCCACAAGGAATTTGTTGACGCTACCTCCATCAGGGGACGGTTCTGGCGTACCATTGCATTGCAGTATGTTGTTGAGCCTGCCACACCGACCACTCTGCTCACATTGCTATGGCACACGGTGAGATTTGTTGAGATTGCCGCGGAGCTGTCGAAAACGGCAACATCTTCCGCGGCTACACACCGTCCCTTGGCCACCAGCCTTCGAAGGCGTAGCAGGACTGCTGCAAGAGCTTCACGACCTGAGCAGATCTATCGACCGCAGAAACTTCGTTCTGAGATCAAGCCTCGTCACACCAAGGTTTCGTGTGCATCGCCGCCTTAGGAGCCTAGAAAGGGCTTAGCGGTCTAGCGCTTCGGGCTTGAGGCTTCGCAACGAAGACACTTGGTCCGTGCCCCCTAAGCAGCCAACTCACAGAATACCGAACCTCCAATGTAACATACCCCGAAGCGCGGCGGTTCTGGACTCAGTCTTTTGCGAACGGTCTTTGCTGCATCACCACTGAATCGACCCTGCACAGATTGGACGAGAGTGCCTGTTGCGTACGCAGATCATCTCCGGTGGGTGTCAGCGATCCAGGATTGAGGCCTGGCGTGAAGATAGGAGGGTCCTGCACTACGGTTTTCATCTGCTCAACATCATCCCCGCAAACCCAATACCATGCAGCGGCTGCCTCAATTTGCAGGTTCTCACGGTGACACAGCTACATTTGTGTTGCCTCAACATGCTGCAAAGGCCTTCGGGCTTAACCGCCGCCGCGTAAAGTCTCAACATCCAAAACCCAGGAGAATTTCCGCTGCTAGCAGGCTGGCACAGGGACGCCTCGGATAGAAAGGAAGATCACAGAGACGCGGCGCATCTCGGGCTGTAGACCTGAAGGACGCAGGCACCGACATGCCGGATGCAAGCAGAGGAACCCCGCCAGTCATGCTCAGCACAGTATCGTAACGGTACCAACTTGTGAATTCTTTGGAAGTTCCGCTGCTCATCCTGTGACGGAAGTCCCAGACTTAGCTGCATATCTGCGAGATGCAGCAATTTTCATGAATCTACGCGTCGTGTAGTAGTCTTGTGAGTTGGGACGAGGTCCATAACTCACCGACGTGAGCATTCTGGTCTTCCGAGGTTGCCTCACTTTGCACCCAGTCTGTGCAGACCATCTTCACCACCACATGCCTACAATCAAGCGATCAGCCTGCCTCACTGATGACAAGACAACGGATACATTTGTTGTCTGATGCCACCCATCATTTCATCATTATCTTCTGAAATCTGCGACTGTTCTTACACAGCTCGTGCCGGAGGGAGGGAGGGAGCGAGAGAGAAAGGTGTGTGTGTTTTTTGTGTCTGTCTGTCAGTCTGTCTCTCGGTCCCATGCAGGTCCAAGGCATGACAGAGGTTGAGGCCCGGACCCAGGATCAATGCCTCTACAGATGTTTGGGAGAGATTCCTGGCCATAGGAAGGCTTCTCGACTCGGACCAGAACCCTGTTGTCATGTGCCACATTTACAGCCTATTAGATGTGCAAGCAGCGGGCACGTGCTAGCTGCCATGGCCAATAAGATGAAGACTGCAACTTGGAATCGCCTCTTGGCCGCCTGTGGCACGTAACGTTGGACGACACTGGCATCCAGCGTGCGCCGCGCTGGCGAGCGTGGGTGCTCCTGCGGGGAACTGCTGGCAGGGGCTTTACTGCTCCGTTGAGTCTCGATAGTTCCGATGATTCAAACCCGGTTCTCATACTGCTGCAACCGAAGTCGAACCAGCATGAATGTACCGAACAACAGTGGCTCACGCGACAAGTCTTGCAAAGCCTGCATCCTTCATCCTTTCTCTTATTAGAAGGCATGTCTCGGCGTGTGCTTTAGTCAGCGCCATGTTGCACCCCTCGCATGGCAGATGCTCGTGCTTGCACTGATCGGCCGCGCAGAGAGAAGAACGAGGGACACGGCAAAAGCAAAACCATGTGCGGCGGAAACTTCTTTGGAACGTTTGGCAGTTGAATCCCAGCCTCTCCCCATACCTGTTTTCCAAATGCAAGAGCGTGGGCAAACTGGAGCCGGCCCTGTGTCGCTCACCGGCCCCAAGGCCGCAAACGTCGAGGCACCGCGCAAAGCGCAACTCTGAGGCCACGGACGAACTTGCTCGAGCTGGAGGTTTGTATTCGTTTTTGCAGGTTATCCCGCCCCACAACAAGCAGTTGCAAAAGCAGTCAAAGATGGAGAACACCAGAATCTCAGCTGCTGAAGCCACGAACAGGATCGCAAGCCCACCACAAATCAGACGAGTGGGTCTCAAACAGGCACCAATGCACATGTCTTGTCATGACTGCTCGGCGTCTGCTCATGCTTATTTGAGCATGCCTTCGTCTAGGGGCTTACACACAAAGCCAAAGAAATACTCGTGGGTAGTGTTCAAAGCAGCCGTGTGAAGCGACGGCGGGAAAAGGATGCAGTCAACCGACGGCTTCGGCCTCGTCTTGGCTTTTGCACTTTCTCTCACCTGTCTCTTCTTCTGCAGGGCTTGGGAGGCTTGTCAGGCCCCCCGGCCACACCCCCATGTGTTATGGGGTTTTTGGTACGGCGTGAAAAGGCGAGCGAATCCCCCTGATGTGCAAAAGAAGTTTACTGGCCTATGGATTATCAGGGTTCCTCTGCAAGCTGTCGACACATGCACAAGTATTGTTGTCAGTTCCTGGGTTCCTCATCATACAACACGATCATAAACCCTCCTAGGGATGAGAAGATAGCTGTGAAACTTCTGGGGACCCAAGTCGACCGCTCCACGGTCTGTGTGCGACATGTGTGTTTGAGGTTCCTGGTGTGTCCCCCGATTTATAGTAATGTCATACCCCATCAGAGGATCTAGGCTAGAGTACATCGTTAGGGGGGTCACTCGGAGTGTTTACAAAAATTGACACTTTGGCAGCTCCTAGCCCAATACAGGTCGTGATTCTTTGGTTGTGCTGTCGGTCCCCCTTTCCCCAGCTTCTTCATGCGACAGGCAGTTAAGACTCACATCCCACTACAGTTATGATATGAAGCCGAGCGTTCGGGGAGCCGAGTGGTCACGGAACCTGGGTCGGACCTGATACAGCGTGTATGCATCTGTTCCCTAGCCAGCTGGGAGAACAATACAAAACAAGTTATAAGTTAAGCTGTTTGTCCCCCCATTGGCCCTCAGCTCACGGCTCAGTGGAGCAAGTCATCTCAAAGCTCCGTGCGGGGAATCGTGTAGCTGAGCGAGTCGTTGATTGTTGGTCCCCCGGTCACATGCCCTGCTCATGGAGGTGGATCGCCAAGTCTCTTCGTCGCCTGTGACTGTCGTTGGATCCTTCCTTCGCTTCCTCTGAGGATGGGCTGCGAGGTCGGTGGGTTCCCCGTTGACGTGGCGACTGGGGAGCTGTAGCACGTCGTACGTCCCCCAGGCCGTGGTGTCGTTCTGCAGTCCACCACTGGCTTGGGTCCCCGGCAGTCCATGTCTTTCCTCAGGGATGAGTCGAGAGATCCCCCTGACCAGGTTCATGGCCGCCTCCTGCAACCTAGGTAAAAAGGCCGCCGGATACTTTCCCACTTCGCCAGGATCGCGTGTATGATGTCGACAGCATGGCACCAATGCGGTGTGGCTGTTTCGGCGGCCATCAAGCTGCACTCTGTTTGCCCGGGGCTTTGACTGACCACGTCTGCCGGGTGGGATAGGATCTGACCGGCAACGAACACCTCGAGCGTGTCCCCCACTTCTACCAGCTGTGCCGAGTTGGCTGTTTGTGCACCACCATCTAAGATGGCATTCAGGACCTCTCGAAGCGGGGTCAACGCCGGAGGCAGCTGCAGATGAACTGCGATGTCCCCCGGGTCCCCGGGTTGATCGTCTCAAGCCATCGCAAAAGGTCGGCTATCATGGGGGCTACCGTAGCATATGTGACACATTGGGCTGCTGCTGTCATTTGTACTCGGCCAATATTTCGGAGGTCTTGTGCTCTTTTAGTGTTGCTGTAACAATGTCTTTTTGGCTTGCCTGCTGCAGGCTTGGTCCACCACTGCTGGCTGCCGCGTTCCCCGTGTCATCCGCCGCTGTGTGTGGTTGTCCTATTGGAAGGTCTTCCATTGCTTCGAGTTCAGCTGCTGTTTGGCTGTCCACCAACAGGTCTGCTAATGCATGTGTGGCTCTCTCTACTATCTGTGCTCCTTGGCTGTCGTCATAGCGTTCCGCTATGCGGCGGATTGCCATAAAATATTGTTCTACTCTTTCCCAGGAGCGTAGGGGAGTCTGCACTGTTGTTGCTTGTGCTTGTCCTGTGGTGGGTGCCTCTGCAGACTCTGTTGCTGCATCGTTGTCGATGGTGGTGGGGGCTGAGCTTTGTGGTACTGTTGCTGGTATCTTGTTGAAGACAGAGGACATTGTCTGCATCAGCGAGGGGCTATCGCCTCTCTCTCTCTCTCTCTCTCTCTCTCTTTTTTGCTTTTCTCAGGGGTGCGAGCTGCAGGCAGTCCTTGCAGCCCGCGCTCTTTGCTTTGCTTTGCTCTGGGGTAAGACTCTGACTCTCTCCCTCTCTCTCTCTCTCTCTCTGCACATCTCTGCACCCTCCGCTCGCTTGAAGCTGCCTTTCCACTCCCCAGCGGAGCAGCTGTGGAAGTGAGGAGGGCGTAGCCGGGTTGCTCCGGAAAGCCGGCCTGGCGTTTCACCAACCAAGGCTGCAAGAGGGGCTGTGCGGCTTTTGCCCTGCAGAGCGCAGCTCGCAAAATTGAGACCAAGCCAAGCCATTGAACAGGCCTCGAAGCAGAACTCGCTGCTCTGTCCTCAGAAGTGCTGTTGCATCTGCTTGTACAGCGGGCTCAGTCCGAGTCTAAGTCTAGGTCTTGAGGTTTGGGCCCACACAAACCATATTTGATGTTCCAAGGCTCCTTTCGAAGCCAGTACCTCCTGAACACTCGAGCTGACAACGGTCTCACCAGAATGAGCCAAAGGTTCCGCGATCGCCACCTCCATGCAAAGATCAGCTTCGACAAATTGTTAGTTTGGGAGAAGATACGTGCTTGTACGAAGACACTCTCGCCGAGCTTGAACGTTCAACAGAACCTGTGCTCTTATGATTGACAGCCTCCTCCAGCGGCTGCCCAGCTGCACAAAACTCCCAGCGATCCAGGACTCCACCTCAAACTTCGTTTCATCATGGGCCTTCTGCGCTGTTCTGTGAAGAGCCCGGATGCAGCATGGCGCCCGGCCCAGCTGCAAAAGTGTCAGCGGGCCGAAGCCCACGCCGATGTGTAGCGTCAGAACCACACCGGGCACGGGCGTGGCTCCGAAGCTGGACCTCGACTTCTTTGCACCTACCTTCCAAGCTCCTCGGAAATCTAACCTGGACCAGATTACCAACCGGAATCGCTATCCTGACCCATTCGCACGTGCACATACAGATAGTGATAGAGAGAGGGGACAGAGAGGGAGAAACAGAGAGAGAGAGAGAGCGAGAGACAAAAGCATAGGAACATCAACGCTCCCATGCAGCAAGCGCTATACCCCTCCTTCATACAGCTAGCCTGTCAGGCAGTGGATGGATCCCGTAACATGTGTCAACGGACTCTTGTACTCCTGGTTGGAGGCCTGTTTTTCATGGTTGCACGGCTTCGGCGTGATGATCTGCTGATCTGCAATCGTAGCACCGAGATGCGACAATGCCAGGTACCCTCTTCTTCGATTATAGGGACTAGCAGGTGTCCTGTGGCAATATCGGCCAACCATAATACAGCGTGATCCTACGATGTTATGATGCGAATATGGTACATGGAATTGCAACTAGACCGCGTCGACTTGTACATCTTGCAGATCGCCAGTCCGGGGTTCTCCTGGTACCGCACGAAACCCGAAAATCACGTAGACGGCACCGCGGCCCCCTCGCATGCAATCAATCAGATAATCAGGATCTGCCTGGCCCGGGAAATGACAACGTGTCATATGGTTGCACTTTGGCAGCCCGAACCCACAGGTTTGGCAAAGTTTACAGATCACACCAGCCCTGAGCCGAATGCATAATTCAAAGCCAGCTACACGCGGCTTTGAACCTCCATGCAGCACCGGCAAGCGTTTGCCGCGGCGCTGAAGCGCGCCTTTGTTCAGTGCAACTCGCAATGTCCGTGCGTCGAACAAACATCCAGCATGAAATGACATTAGCACCACGAAGTTCCACGAAGACATACCTGGTAGGAGGAAGACCTTGGAACATGCATATCTGCATGCGCACAACACACACACACACACCTGCCTATCTAGCTGCTTATCTATCTATCTGTCGCTATATTTGTCGTCCATCTAACGTAAAAGCTGCTAGCTATCGATCCATCTCCCTCTCTCGTTCTCTCTTTCTCTTTGTCATCTACCTACCTATCTATAAAGCTAGACATGCAGGCATACGTGCATGCATACATACATGCAGACATAGATACATACATACGGACATACATATGGTGTATTGCCACGTCACGTACTGCATTGCATTTCAGTACCTGACACTACATGGCCGTGGGTCAAAAAACCCCGTGTTGTCGCGCCCCCCCCCCCCTGTTGCAAACCCTTGTCGCGCCGGCGTGTTTCAAACCCTTGTCGCGCGACATTGCTGGGCACCTCCATAGTAGTAGCAGAAGTAGTAGTAGTAGTAGTAGCAGTAGTAGCAGTAGTAGTGGTGGTGGTGTAGTGCAGTAATTGGCAGTAGTCCACTAATTGGCAGTAATGCAGTAATTAATGACCAGTATTGCAGTCATTGGCCGTAGTGCAGCAATTGGCAGTACTGCAGTGATGACCAGTAGTGCAGTAATTGGCAGTAGTGCAGTAATGACCAGTAATGCAGTGATTGGCAGTAGTGCGGCAATTGGCAGTAGTGCAGCAATTGGCAGTAGTGCAGTGATGACCCGTAGTGCAGCAATTGGCAGTAGTGCAGTAATGACCAGTAGTGCAGTAATTGGCAGTAGTGCAGTACTGACTAGTAGTGCGGTAATTGGCAGTAGTGCAGCAATTGGCAGTAGTGTGGTAATTGGCAGTAGTGCACTAATTGGCAGTAGTGCAGCAATGACCAGTAGTGCAGTACTTGGCAATAGTGCAGTGATGACCAGTAGTGCAGTAGTTGGCAGTAATGCAGCAATTGGCAGTAGTGCAGCAATTGGCAGTACTCTCGACGCAGGGTGCCCAGAGCTTTTGGTCACCCCAAAATCTCGATTCCGGGTGGGGAAAGGGCCCAAACGACACCCCTAGGGATTGAACCAGGGGCCTTTTCCCTGCCTCTCATGCAAAGCCTCCGCCTGCTCGTTATGCTATGGAAGGATAGCTTTGGGAGGGGCGGCCACCGAATCATTAGTTTGGGGGGAGTCCAGGCGCCGTCATTTGGGGCAGTAATTGGCAGTAGTGCACTGATGACCAGTACTGGTCATTGCTGCACTACTGCCAATGAGTGCACTACTGCCAATCAGCGCACTACACTACTGCCACTTGGCAGTAGTGCAGTGATGACCAGTAGTGCAGTAATCGGCAGTAATGCAGCAATTGGCAGTAGTGCAATAGTGACCAGTAGTGCAACACTTCCACAACACTCCACAACACTTCCACAACACGTCCACAACACCTCCACAACACCTCCACAACACTTCCACAACACTTCCACAACACCTCCACAACACCTCCACAACACTTCCACAACACCTCCACACAACTTCCACAACACCTCCACAGCAATTAGCAGTAGTGCAGTAATTGGTAGTACAGCAATTGGCAGTAGTGCAGTAATTGGCAGTAGTGCAGCAATGACCAGTATTGCAGTACTTGGCAGGAGTGCAGTGATGACCAGTAGTGCAGTAATTGGCAGTAGTGCAGTAATGACCAGTACTGGTCATTGCTGCACTACTGCCAATGAGTGCACTACTGCCAAGTAGCGCACTACACTACTGCCACTTGGCAGTAGGGCAGTGATGACCAGTAGTGCAGTAATCGGCAGTAATGCAGCAATTGGCAGTAGTGCAGCAATTGGCAGTAGTGCAATAGTGAACAGTAGTGCAACACTTCCACAACACTCCACAACACTTCCACAAAACCTCCACAACACCTCCACAACACTTCCACAACACCTCCACAACACTTCCACAACACTTCCACAACACTTCCACAACACCCCCACAACACCTCCACAACACTTCCACAGCACTTCCACAACACCTCCACAACACCTCCACAACACTTCCACAACACTTCCACAAAACCGCCACAGCAATTAGCAGCAGCGCAGTAGTTGGTAGTACAGCAATTGGCAGTAGTGCAGTAATTGGCAGTAGTGCAGCAATGACCAGTAGTGCAGTACTTGGCAGGAGTGCAGTGATGACCAGTAGTGCAGTAGTTGGCAGTAGTGCAGTAATGACCAGTAATTGGCAGTAGTGCAGCAATTGGCAGTAGTGCAGCAATTGGCAGTAGCGCAGTGATGACCAGTTGTGCAGTAATTGGCAGTAATGCAGCAATTGGCAGTACTCTCGACGCAGGGTGCCCAGAGCTTTTGGTCACCCCAAAATCTCGATTCCAGGTGGGGAAAGGGCCCAAACGACCTGCCCGGGGATTGAGCCAAGAGCCTTTTCCCTACCTCTTATGCAAAGCCTCCGCCTGCCCGTTAGGCTATGGAAGGATAGTTCCGGGAAAGGCGTCCACCCTCCCTGGGGTTTTGAAGAGACTCCAGGCGCCCTCATTTGGGCAGTAATTGGCAGTAGTGCAGTAATGACCAGTACTGGTCATTGCTGCACTACTGCCAAAGAGTGCAATACTGCCAATTACCGCACTACAAGTCAATACTGCACTACTGCCAATTACTGCACTACTGGTCATTACTGCACTACCTGCACTAGTGCAGTACTTGGCAGTAGTGCAGTGATGACCAGCAGTGCAGTAATTGGCAGTAATGCAGCAATTGGCAGTAGTGCAGCAATTGGCAGTAGTGCACCTCCACAGCACTTCCACAACACTTCCACAAAACCTCCACAACACCTCCACAACACTTCCACAACACTTCCACAACACCTCCACAACACTTCCACAACACTTCCACAACACGTCCACAACACCCCCACAACACCTCCACAACACTTCCACAACACTTCCACAACACCTCCACAACACCTCCACAACACCTCCACAACACTTCCACAACACTTCCACAACACCGCCACAGCAATTAGCAGCAGCGCAGTAACTGGTAGTACAGCAATTGGCGGTAGTGCAGTACTTGGCAGGAGTGCAGTGATGACCAGTAGTGCAGCAATTGGCAGTAGTGCAGCAATTGGCAGTAGTGCAGCAATGACCAGTAGTGCAGTAATGCAGTAATGACCAGTATTGCAGTCATTGGCCGTAGTGCAGCAATTGGCAGTACTGCAGTGATGACCTGTAGTGCAGTAATTGGCAGTAGTGCAGTAATGACCAGTATTGCAGTAATTGGCAGTAGTGCAGCAATTGGCAGTAGTGCAGTGATGACCAGTAGTGCAGTAATTGGCAGTAGCGCAGTAATGACCAGCAGTGCAGTAATTGGCAGTAGTGCAGTATTGACTAGTAGTGCGGTAATTGGCAGTAGTGCAGCAATTGGCAGTAGTGTGGTAATTGGCAGTAGTGCACTAATTGGCAGTAGTGCAGCAATGACCAGTAGTGCAGTACTTGGCAGTAGTGCAGTGATGACCAGTAGTGCAGTAATTGGCAGTAATGCAGCCATTGGCAGTAGTGCAGCAATTGGCAGTACTCTCGACGCAGGGTGCCCAGAGCTTTTGGTCACCCCAAAATCTCGATTCCGGGTGGGGAAAGGGCAAACGACCCGCCCGGGGATTGAGCCAGGGGCTTTTTCCCTGCCTCACATGCAAAACCTCCACCTGCCCGTTAGGCTATGGAAGGATAGCTCTGGTGCAGGCGGCCACCCCATTAGGAGTTTTGGAAAGACTCCAGGCGCCGTCATTTGGGGCCTTTCCCCCCATCCAGAATCGAAACTTTGAAATGACCCAAATCCGCCAAGAGCATAACCAAACCCACTCAAAACCGAGCAAACCCGCCGAAACCCTCCCAAACCCACCCATTCCCACTTGCCCATGCCCCTTTGCCCAAATGCAACTGGTGCTGGTGCTCTACTCGACTGCCTGCTACTACTGCTGCCACTACGACACAGAACCTACATACCTAAATATATACACAATATAAATCTATACACATGTACACATACATACATGCTGGACCTTGTCGCAGAAACCCGCTTTTGTTACATACTTTGTCGCGCGAGGGGCGCCCCGGCCCTGTTACATACCAGAAGTTTTTGACTCACTGCCACATTGATCTACAGTACATCCTACAATATTTGCAACCCTCTTGCGCAGGGAGCATTTGGATGATTGAAAAAGCCAGCCACCGAGTACAAAACAGATTGCGACACCATGTGCGCTGACATAGCATGATAGCACGGCATTAGAAAAACAGTCGAACTCGATTAGGAGCGACAAAAGCACCTAACATGCACGTCAACGTTTTCAGCAGCGTGGGTCAGCCAAAGCAAGACCTCCCAAGCTTCTGGGTCACAGCCGGCGGTGATCTCCCGACATAGCAGGCATCTTTACCCGCAAAGATGAAATAAACTTGCAAGACTGACATAACAATTATGAAAACAAGCCGCCGATAGAATCACGCGACCAAGAACGACAAACATCATCGTTGTATTTGCCAACCCAGCAAGAACAGGAACTAATCCGCCGAGGCCAGAGGCCCAGGCGTTTTGGTGGTTACCTCAGCGAAATGATTGACACCCTGTTTTTGCGTTCGTTTGCCACCCCCTTGCCCGGCTTCCCCTCATTTTACCTGATTTGTCGGCCTCCCCCCCCCCCTCCCAGGCCTCCCTTCCCTCATTTTACATGATTTGTCGCCTCCCCTTCTCTCCCCCCCACTGCCCCTCCCCCCCTTCCACCTCCCCCCCCTCCCCCCCTCCCCCCCCCTCCCCGCCCTCCCCCCCTCCCTCCCCCTGTGCCCGTTTTCCTGGCACTTCGTGTAAAGCTTGGGGTTTGACAGGCCGCCCTAGCATAAAAGAACATCGACTGCCCCCTCGCCCTGCCGCTACACAGCCGAGGCAGGCGGCGTAGCGTTAAAATTAACAACAGTGCAAGAAAACAGAGCGCAGTAATGCGAAATCGCATCATGTAATACCTTCAAGCGCTGCGAGATAGAGCACAAGACACTGGTGGATCATGCCTTGAGCCCGCGATCATGTGTTAGCTGAAGATCCTGCTCTCCCAGCGATTGGCTGCTCATGCGATTCAATTCGCAATTTGGGGTGGCGGGTCAGCGCATCACCGCATCAGCGCTCTAGGAGCATTGGCCGATGTATTGGAGCTCACTTTGGAGATGGTACTTGCAATAGAGACCGGGGATCGGGACGACAGCTTCTTCAACTAGCATTATGAGTTGCCGCGAGGTTGCATCAGCTTTGCTCACCGGCGGCAGGGTGCCTTAGACACTGCTGCACAACATTTAACAACTCAGACAACGGCGCATTGTCGTGCTGTACCCCGATGAATGATGCGCTGAATACACAATAATACTACATTTTCTATCAACAGAGCGAGAACTCTAAATGCCCGGAGCTAAAGTGCAGTGCCTTCAAATAATAGCATCCCCCAGACTAAGACCTTGCAGTGCCCCAGATATCTTTGACAAACCTCGGGCACATGGGACATGAACTCACATTATGCGGCAACTTTTCAACCCAGGGTGCATACTGCGTGATTGCTTTGCAAACTTCCAACATCGAGCACCGGACAAGATGAATTGGTGGATTTGCTCGGTGATCGGGAACGCCATGGAACGCCTGCCAGATTCTGCACGAAATACATGTCTTAGGCATTGAATCCACTGAAGAGACACTCCCCTCGAAGATAGAACCGAGCAGGAAATGGCAACAATGTGCGTCAATCATTGCAGGTCGATCTGCCAAGATACGGCTAATGCTCTGCCTTCGTCCTCTACTCGCCAAAGGATGGTCAGGGCATCCCCGCTGAACTTCAGCACATCTCCTCCATGACCTCTCACTTACATACAGACAGGGTTGGAACATGTCGGAACAGAACCGCAGCCTCATTCTGTACGTCGGTCCCTTTCACACTGAGAACCCCACGGGTGATGATCTCAATGAGGGCGCCGAAAAAGTTGTTCAAACATGAACCAATCTCTTCGGCCTGTGTCTGCAAAACCGGTGGCAGCAATGCATGCAGGCATCGCTTGTCCTGTTCGAGTGCCAAGAGTTTGCTAAAGCTCATGTGAAACTCAGCCTTCGTGCGGCTTGCAAATTGGGGAAACTTACTTAACCTCAGAGCTCAGGGCACTGCCTTGCGATCACCTTGATAGTAAGATGCTAGTCCCACTACTTGGTCCCCTTGTTATGTGTTGTATGCTACAGACGGTTCCGGGTTATGCGCTTAAGATGCACTCCAATTTTGCTCTGTTATTTTGGCACTGCGTATGGGCACGAGGGGACCTTGGGGGCGTGCGGGGTGGGGGAGGTTCGGGAGGTTAGGCTTAGGGCTTGTGGGGGAGTGAAGCTCGTCTTTTCGCTCTGCCGAGCCGAGTTGCTCCGTGAGCCTGTCGCGCCAGGGACTCCGTCAGCGCTGTGAAGCCCGAGGCGTCCATGAAAACGACGACTGCTTCGAAGCGGCCCTCCGACAAAGAGGCAGGGCGGCATAGCGGCACAGTGCAGGCTCTGCTACACCACTCTTGCGTGCTGTCTTATCAGGATCTTCTCCCTGATTCTCCCTCCCTTTCAAGAGACACATTTCGTCCTTGCTGGCATTGTACTTGCTGTGCTTGTCCTCCAGGATTGCTCGAGGGAAGTCCTCCTTGCAAATGATGCCTGCTGCATTGAAGCAAGCCGGCTCGCATCAAGGACAGATCGTGGGGTTTCGTACGGACAGCGGTCTCAAGTTGACATACTCGAAGCTGTGCTTGGAATTTTCACCCGGCATCGACATCAATTTAGCAACTCTGCAGTGTGGAATGTATACTTAAGCTGTTTGCCGCCATGACACAAGTCTCACTTGTGGGAAATCTCACAGGTAGACCCCCGTCTTGATATGTTGATTTGCTGGCCTTGCTCGATGGCATCGCACACGGTGTGAGACAGGTACCTGCTGGCACCGACAGAGGGCAGACATCAAATGCTGCCTGATAATCATCGCGCTTTCTAATTCCTTTGAATTTGACGGATTGAGGGCGACCCCCTTCGTGACTAGGCCAGGCCGACCCCACCGCGTTTTGAAGCCCGGATGCTGCAGCATCGAATTCTGTAATAGCTGCGGCCGCCGGACGACGGACCTGCAACGCAGTATCGCCGTATCATGCCGTGCATTGCGCAGCCTGAGGGAAGACCTCGGGAGTACTTGGGAAGCAAACACTACCGATAAGCCTTGCATTGCTTGCATTGAATCCCCTGCGCCTAAAACTCGCTGAATCAAAGTCGCCAGATGTCGACAGCATGTCTGCAAAGTTTACGCATATTCGCCTTCGCGTTGGCGTTAACGATGGCTGAGGAGCAGCTTCGCTGCCCTCTGCCTGCTGGGCTTCCACCAGCTTGCCTGAATAGGAAGACGTTTGCGATCGACGCACTCATGGCCATGTTCAGCTGAAACCATCATCTAGATTCCAAGGCAGTACAAAGAGCAAAGGACCCTCTGTCTGCTTCCACATTTCACCATCGCAGTGACATAAGCCTTCATGTAGACGACAGCATGCGCTTCGTTGTTGTTGAGACAAGCTGGTTAAGATGCTTTGAGTGATGAAGCTCGCTTAGCAGGCACCTCTTGGTTCGGCCATCAGAAAGCAAATAGGCTGGTTTGCAGCACTTGGCACGCGTGCTGTTTTCAACCTCCTTCTCCGCCACCAGGGCGTAGTACCTATCGTTTGCGATCTTCCGTTGCAGGGTGTGACAAATTCCGTCTTCACTGGGCCCAAGAGCTTACAATGTGTGACAGCGTGTATCAAGGAATCGACTGTTCAACTTGGCAGTTTCTCACAGTCATAGCAGTACATATACTTTAGAATGCAGTCCGGCTGTGTGAATCTTCGCAGGAATTGTAATGGCCGGAGTTGGCTGGCTGCTTACTGTTGTGGGCCCCTCTTGTTCAAACACGACTCCAGCTCTGCACCCCAAGTCCAGAAACCCTTGCCTTCAGGACTCCCTCTGAATCTCTTCTTTGCGGTCGGTGTCCGATCTTTGTCTTGTCTTATACTGAACTCAGGGGGCTCAGAACAGCCGAGTGGCCTGCAAAACCCCCCTCTCCTACGGTAACATACGTCAACCAAAACCCGTACATGTTCTGGCTCTCTGCTCTAACCAAGGCTAACCAACAGATTTTGGGGTCGACGTGGCGTCGGTCAGAGAGCTTACGGTTACGGTCGGCAGTGCAATGCATTCCCAGCCCCAAGCGTCCACAGAAGCAAGCATTTCGACTTCGACCCTGGCCAACACCTCCACGTGTCCGTGCCATCAAGCTCGTCTGTGTCGTCTCGCACGAAGCTGGTCCTGGTCAGAGAAGCAACGGGTACTTGTCTGACCTGGCCCACATCTGGCTGCTGGTGTCTGGGTGCACGGCAGCTTTGAGTAATCTCTGGTGGGTCTCCGGGCAGGAGCGCTGTGCATATCTTCTGCCGGCACCTGCAGAAGGGTAAGTAGTGATTTGGCATCCGCACCCTGCCAGCCGACTCCGGTCAATCCACGGTGACAGCATTACGAACTCAAACTTTGCTTGACTGCTGCTACATACTACCACTCTTACGTGGCCATGAACCGTTACCAGTCTGCTTCATGTCTGTGGCTGGCTTCATGTTGAAAAGGTTCTGATGGCTTCATCTGTGTTGAACTGATTCGGATTTGAAGTAATTCCGGATTCGACTTCCAAGCCTTGCTTGATCCAAGCATGTCTTTGCACATATTTTGTGGCGCCCTCGAAACATCTTGACACGTCTCTCGACCTCCACAGCAGTATGACAAAACATCTCCTCCTCTCCTTCTCGACCGACCGAGATGAAATGCGATGCAGTGATACGCTGAAACATCGAACGAGATCGTTCAGAACACTAGCCTTTCAAGCAACTCTACCCCTGGAGTTTCGGGCGTTCTCTCTTTTCCGTCAGCTTTGTGCTGTCCCAGGCGATGTTTGCTTGCCCCCTCTCCTTCCCCAACATCGCTGGAACTGGCTACGCAGACCGCGTGCGGCCAGCAGACATTGCGCTACTCCCGAGCCGAAGATCGGTTGGCCGTTGTCTGCCATGGTGTTGCTTTTCAGATTTTTCCTCCGCAGAAAGCAGTAAAGATGAGAAAAGCACAGCTTCGACGAGCTGCCATTTTCTTTCCTAGCATTCTGCTCAGTTCTGGGCTCGCACTCCACGCTGCAGGATCCTCGCTCTTGCTCGGCCTGCTCTTCGGGAACATCTTCTGGTGCGATGGAGACCGTAGTGGCCTTGTGGCCAACATCGAGAACGTCTACAACTCTTCCCCACCCACTGCTTTGATTCCACATGTGCCATCCAAGGGATCCAAAACATGTATATGTCAATGGGAAGGCTAGCGATCGCTACCCCTATTTGTCAGGCTGGCCACATCGAGCAGCCTGCCATATAACATGCCTCGTGGTGGGTCCCCAAACTGATCACTGAGCATCATCGAGTGTCAAGGGGCTTTTCCTTGGACCATGCGAACACCCTAGAATTCCCAGCACCCTCGCGGTGAGTGGCCTTTCGTCTGCCATCGCCGTTGGCACGAGGCTGGGCGGGGAGAGCCTGCTTCTGCCCGAAGAAATAAATTTCAGTTGCACAGACCTTCCGGCTTGCGGGAAACCCGGATACCCATGACAGTCTAGCATTCAGGCAGCGAAAGATTTGTTATGGCAATGCCGAGAGAAAATACGACTGCACTTGATTCTCACAGAGAAGTACTTCGCTTTCATGAGCATGTCCAGAAACACCAGCTTCGCCAAAAGGGGCTGCCACTAGCAACGTGAAGGTGAAACCTGACGCATTTACGAGCCTCGAGCCCTGAATACAACACCAGCCGATCAAACGAAGGGCAGGCCGCAAGGCTGTCTAGCCGATACCATACTGAGATGCTGAGATACCCAACTACTGCACAGTGTGACTAAGTCACCAGGTTTAATCCCTGACAGAGTGCTTTATGAAGTCGCCTCTGCAGTAGCAAGGATTTTTGGGAGTGTGTTTTCACATTGTCCTTGCCCCGTACAAGTGCTTGGTCTTGGTACTCTCAGCACCAAGAGCAGGGCAGCATCTGTTACTTCTGCTACCGGCATGTACGTCATTGTGGGCATGGTCAGTGGCCTCGCGGCGGTTCCAAAGCCACTCGACACAGGGGCCTTGGAGCCAGGAGTGCCACAAATGCCACAAGCGAGCAACCCTTTTCCCCGAAGCGGCTTCAGACAAACATCTAGGGGCCTTCCTCTGCTCGCGTTTCAGAGTGGCCTGCATTGGGGGTAGTTCTCCAACGGAATCTTTACGGGGCACCGTGAGAAAACACCGCACTTAGAATTCTGGACTTGAACTGATCAGACGGAAGTACATTCGCTCGAAACTAATTCAAATTTGCTACTCCGAGGCACATGGCAATGGCAGCATCGCGGAAAGGCATGGGGTGCGAAGCTGGGCTCAGAAGCCCGGCCAGGGGCCCTGTGCGTCCCTCTTCAGAGTTACAGAACTTGAGGCTTCGAGCTTGCGGGGAGCCCTACTGTAGGGCCGCAGCATCTGTAGCGCTCTGAATTCGGGACGAGAGATGATGGGGTCATGGGCTGGTTCAGCTACTGGACATAACCACCTGGAAAGATGGTGACCCTAGCCAGGCAAGGTCTGGCCCTGGCTGTGGATGACTTTTTGCCAGTGTCTCTTGCAATGTTCGTGGAGGCATGCAGGCCTGCCGTGAGCCGAGTTCATGTCTGCAGGCCATGACGTGAAACTAGCTCCGTCCTAGGCTTCAATGATTCAACATGCCTGCTCTCCCAACAAGCTCCAAAGTAATCGTTCCCTGCACGCAGGTTAAAGCTTTGCTGCCAAGCCTACAGATGCTCTCACACAAAGATTGCCATCGTCATAGTGTTGTCCCATCCACCTTTATCTGAAGACGGCATGTCCGGCCTTCTGGTGCAAGGGCAAGACCACACCCTCCTGGCTGTCATGCCAGGAGGTGCGTGCTGCTCTTGATGGAGCTGTCGATTTACTCATTGACTTTCGTTCGCACATGCAGAAACCAGAGAAAAGGGAAACGCGTGCTCCGAGTTGTGTCAAAAACTTTCAAAGTGATCTGCGCTGAACGATGATCTTAATAGCCGAACCGACAAACCGTCACACTCTTTGAACATGGTGATCGGGAGTGTAAAGGTTTGCAGCATGCCTCTTTCTGAAACTTTCCCGAATCACAGAACCTGAGACCCTGCCTGAATACGCATGCTTCACTCATTTTTCATCGCCCAGTTGTCTCCAGAAAACCTTGAAACGGCGGCTCAGTTCTACCCAGATCGTAGCATTCGTTCCTGCTGAGTCTGCCAAGGCTAGTCACGATTGCTCAAGACGGAGAGAATTTCCGCGCAAGGGACATGTCGAAAGACATGCTAGACCCACGGTGCGGTCACATCCCTTAGCTACAGCTTGAACAAACAGTCACACTCTCAAATCATGCCTCCTCCGAAGCATCTTTGGCATCCGCAGGGCGCAGGCGCGCTGCAACACCGATTTTGAACTCCTGGTGCTATTCAGGATAGAATCTGGATCATGCTGGAATTCCTGGCAGTTGAACGATACGGTCTGCATGGAACACACTGTACCTCAGCCTCCACGTCATGGAAGCCGCTCCTGAGGTTTCGAAGTCACAGTCGCAACTGTTACTTCAAACATTCGCTGAACTGCCTCTGCTGTGGGCTTTGAAGCGTCGTGCCAGAATATCCGATAAGTCCCGTCTCAGCGCGCCGCTTGATGTCGCCTGCCAAGCCATCTCTCAAGGCACAAGCCAAAGCCGCTGCCTGCCACCGGACCGGATGCCACAGGCACAGAGATGTTATAAGCGCTGGCTAAGCCAAACAGGGGCAAAGAGACTTTGTTTGCCACATGCAACCACGACATGCTGCAGCTCCCTGCCCTCGGTGTTTGGGGGGTCTTCGATCTTCAACTCAACTATTCTCTGGTCTCAGTTGATTCTCCAGGGTTGGGCACTCTGGGGATTCTCACTTGCCCACATAAGTCTACACTGGGCAACTGCCAGTGTTGCTATAGCCAAGTATACTATGTTCTAACAGAGAAGGACTGCTGAAATTGGCAATTGCAAAAGAGACTACTGGCATGTTCATTACGGCATCCCACTGTCTTTACCCCACCTGGATGGAGTTTTAGGCATGGCCTTCCATGACCTTCTCATTAGTTGTGTAAAAGCCGAAGCAGCACATCTGCACGATTCAGTTCCCCACAGAGCCTAAACACCAAAAGCCGGAAGCAGCATAGTGTAAGTTTCATATTTAGGAGAGACCTGCGGCTTTCCGCCAGGTCCCTCGGAACCCCTACCTGCCTTGTCACGATCTACATGATTTCGGAAGACCAATCACCACATAATTCATCAACTTGGATGGTAGCAAAACCCCAAACCTGCATATCCCAAAAGATCTTGCGGGAGCCCAGAAGTGTTCGTGCATCAATCTTACATACTTCCAGATCATCTCAAAACCTTGCGCATTGTGAAACCCAGTCAATTACGCAGTCTGCTGCTGTTGTGGTTGTTCCCTGCCCTCGGTAAGGGTATAGACTGCGGGGGGGAAGGGGCAGGCCGACCGCCGGCCCACGAGTTCCTGATCTGTAGGGACGGGATGTGTGAAGTAACATCTGAGTAAGCAGGATTATTCTTATGACAGGTGTTGCCACTTGCGAGATGAAAGCTGGGGCCAAGGCTCTGCGGATATCTTTCATGGACAGGGAGTATAGCTCCTGTAAGGCCAACGTCCAGCATCTCTACCACTCTTGCTGACTCTCTCGCCTCAGTCGGTAAGTGCAAGTGAAACCGTTGGCCTTGGACATCGGTGCAATACGGTATCTTGAAGCTCCACTGCTGCGGAGCATCGCATGCAGTGTCTGTCCAAGGGGACGGAGTGCTAAACTGTCCTTGATGAGGCATTGATAGCTTGCAGAGACTCCGGCAGGAGGTGGTACGTAGACCTTCTAAAGCCAGTCAAGAAAAAGCTTGAAACATTCCATGATGTGTTTTCTCGCGGCATCGGTCAAACCATTTCGAAACTCAACGAAGAAGTCGCCACTGTGGAGATGTGCCATGTACGGACGTTCATCTAGCGAGTTTGTGTTGCATACTTACATACCACGCACGGATGGGAAACGGGGCTCTTCGGGCTAGAACTCCACATTTTCTGTCTGCGACTAGCGATTTGCTGATATAATACTTCGCACCGTTGTTCACTTGCTGCAGGCCTAGGAAGCCTTACCGCTTCTGAGACTTGTTCTGCGGATGGCACTTCTATCCTGAGGGGTTCTTAAGTCAAAGCTCTTCTGGACCCAAGCGTAAGCCGCAAGGAGGAATCAACGCCAGAAACGTCGTGGAACCTCCGACTCCTCTGCGAGGCGCTCACAAAGGAAACGCCAGTAGCCTAGCAGAGGACCAAGGTCTGATTAACGGACCACCGAAGTTCTTCACTGGATTGAGTTGCCATTTCAAACTAACATGGACATACAGAGTGGCCCAGCTTCCATGATCTTGCATGATCACGAAGCATCACTGAAGCCTTCTCCATCCGAATCACTGCCGTCAGGACCTTTCAGCTGCTGCAGTTGCTGTCTGACTTAGAGTGCCTGAAACTCTCACTGCAATCATCGCAGAGCTTCATCTTCTGACGGCGCAGCTGCACAGCATTGGGAACCCTTGCACCTGGCCTCGTCGAAAGCCCAGCGCTTCATGTAACCCTCGGCCTCACAACACCGTGGCGGACTGGAATGCAAGATCTCTACTTCATTACTTACAACCATCTCAGACGTCTCTGGTCTTGCTTCGATCGCCGTTCTCGGCACAAGAGGCTGCAGCCGAGGGGTTTGCTGTAGTCTCTGGGCCTTGTTTAGCTCGGTGCCAAGGACGGGGAATCTCGTGGCACGGCCAGCTTGTGCGATAATGTGTGGACATTTTGCGTGGAATGTCCATGTTTGAGGAAGGGCCGAGTGCGACATGTGAAAGCTCGCTGAAGGCCACGCAAATTTCGGGTGCGGTCGCTCGCTGCGGCCTGGGCTGCTCCAGGAATCGCGGAACAAGCCGCCACAAGGGCCAACTATAAGGACGACCAAAACCGACTGAAGGCGCAAACTTAACTACAGGATTTTCTGACACCCAGGCTGTTGGCCGTTGGAGCACTGTTCCGGTAGATGAACCTTCCGTAAGTTACATGTTCGACGTGGACTGCGCGCAACCTCAACGCAACCTGAATGACATGGCAATGCGAGTCTTGCATTGTAGGGGCCAGGGGCGCGTCAGAGGGCTGGGATGGCAACTGACTTCTTCATCTTCTTCGGGCCGGGAGGATCTAGGCATAGGCCCAGCCCAGCTCTGGAAATGGAAGGTGACAGTCCAAACGTGGCTTTAGCGTGCATCCCCAAACCGGGTTGCCTGGAAGTGGCTCCAGCGAGTCGGAATTTGCATGCCGCGACCCAATGGCACGAAAACTCAGCACTGAGACGGGAGCCAATCACAAAAGGCGAGGATGTTCAATGGTGGCAGCTCCTGTCTGCGTTGATTCGCATAAGCTTAAGCATCGTGCCCATGCTTTCACTGTACCTCTTGATTCCTCAGCCAGACGGAGGTATCAAGCAATATAAGCCAGCAGCACAAAATATGCACCCCACACCTCAGCACGCAGTCTATCCGCAATCTTGCAAAAGCCAACTCTGTCCCGTCGAGGCCTCCTTGCTGTGGCCTGCCAGGCACTGGCCCATGGCGACCGGAGGGGCCACCTTGGCTGCTGCGGAGCGCGCAGGCGCTGCTGAGGCTGAGGCCAGCGCATGTCAGCGCACTCTCTGTGACGCTGTGACGTGTACTCGGGTGCTGGAGGTGCCGAAGCCCTCGAAAACTGTCATCGTACCCTGAAAACAGGCAAAGCCTGGCGACACTTTGTCTGTGCCGAATCCGGCGATGCTTCATTGGCCTGGCGACCTCGCCTTGATGACGGTCTTTCAGCAGAAAGGCTACCATGACCACTGGAGGGCAAATGTTTCGGGTTCCACAGCAGGCATGAGCAAACATGTAGGGAGCTCTAATTTTCTGATCGGCATGATTCGCTCGGCGTGTTTTTGCCACGGCCACAGCGGCTCATGTGCAACCAGTTGCATCGTGCAGTTGATATGCTCGCACGGTTTACAGGCCTGACTGTCGGCCAAACCCCGGAACCGCCTTTTACATGTCTTCACGGGATGCAATTCAAACAGGCCCCGGATTCTGTGCAAAGCTGACGGGTTGTGGTTGCTGCAAGGGAAACGAGAGCCGGGATGGCAATCGTTCAAAGTTGTGCAGTCCTGAGCCCCAATGCCCGGTTTTGCTGCCTCGCCGCCACATCCGCTCACTGTACATGTCTGCTTTTCGAGTCTCCCCG